CCCCCCCACACACACACAACCCTTCCTGCAGCACCTCTAATCCCGGCACCCTAATCCCCGATCCTTCCTGCAACACCTCCAACCTCGACACTGTACCCTCATGATCCTTCCTGCAATACCCCCGACCTCAATGGGGACAATGAGAGGAGCCCACTGGGGGCGAAGGAAGAGGGGGATAGAAAATGGGAGGCAGCGAGGAAAAGGGACTCTATATCTCACCTAGCTGGGGGCACATCCCACAGCCCTGTCCCTAATCCCCGATCCTTCCTGCAACACCTCCAACCTCGACACTGTACCCTCATGATCCTTCCTGCAATACCCCCGACCTCAATGGGGACAATGAGAGGAGCCCACTGGGGGCGAAGGAAGAGGGGGATAGAAAATGGGAGGCAGCGAGGAAAAGGGACTCTATATCTCACCTAGCTGGGGGCACATCCCACAGCCCTGTGCGACTCGATTTATTAGTAAGGGCTCCTTCTTCCCAAGTTCAGCCTCCCTGGAGAGCCCTTGCCTGCGCGCACAGACAAGTGCCATGTTCCCACAAGCCTTCCTGCAGCACCCGTAATCCCAGCATTACCATTGCCCACGTACCAGGTGCCAAATTCTGCTAGTTTCCATCCACATAGGTTTTTTCCTACTGCTATTACTAAAGCGACACACACACCATGTAAAGCAAGGGTTCATGAAGTGAGGTGTGTGCTGGTTGCACACAACATTGACTGTGAGAGCTGCGTACTCCCTCAGGGTATGTCTACACTACCACCCTAGTTCGAACTAGGGTGGTAGTGTAGACATACCCTCGGGCTTTTTGCAAGGGGCTTTAAGTAAAAAAATTACCTATTACTTGCTGCAAATCCTAACAAAGAGGCAGCTTGTTTGTCTTAGTTCTCATGCCCCTGCGCCAGTTTTCCTGTCGTCTTTTTACATCAAGATAGGTAGGTAACTAGACAGACATATAGAACTAATCTGTCTGCAAAGGAGAGGGAGTATGTTAAAAACATCAACACTTTTCATTTTGAAAAATTAAACAGTCGGATTAAGAGGAGTTGTATAAAAATTAATCTCACATTGATTTACCAATTTGTTTTTTTACCAAGAAAGGAAGAGGCCAGACTGTGTGCTGCAGTCTGTTTCTATATCAGTTATTTAATACTGTGACTTTCAGTCAAAGCGCTGATTCAGTTCAGTTGGCACATCCCACAAATTCTAAATTACCAAGCGCAGTGAGCTAAATAACCCAGTCTGGGGAGACTGTCTTGGTTACAATAATTTTGTGGCCCACTGAGATGAAGGAGGGGCACTCGTGCGGCCCACTCACTAACCTCGGTTACCCATTGCTGCTGCATTATTCACCCGTCCACTGTTGCCATGATAGGACTTTCACTCCCTCCCTGCACATGGAGTGTTCTGATCTTTCTCCCCTCTACAATATTCTTCTCTCTGAAGGGTTTCCCATATCCTTCTTCAGCTCCCCTATTAGGAGCAACACAACTCCCGCTCATTCTCCAACCCTTCTGCTACTACACAGTGCTGCAGTGTTTCTGGCATGTTGCAGGGAAACTAGGAGGAAGGTCTTTGTGTAGCACCACTTATGGGGAGGGCAGAGAACATGGGCCACAGGGCAGTAGGAAAAACAGCTCCCTGTGATGGGACAGAGACTCAGCCACATCCCACTGGAGGTTTCTAGATGTTGTGAATCTGCATTTCAACTGAAGGCCCAATGCTGAGAGAGGACAAATTAAGGCTGGCATAGAAAAATGTTTATGCTGCAGTATGAAAGTGCAGTGGTAGGCTTAATTCTCCAGTACCAATCAACCAAGGTAAACTCGCTCTGTGAAAGAAGGACCAGTGAGTGTCATGAGCGCATGATTTCTACTGCAAAGTGAGATACCAGATATTGAAGCCCTGATAATTGCTTTAAATGTGCTGTTCAAAAGCACTTCTGTTCCATAAGAAATTAGTTGCAGAGACAACAACTAGAACACCTTTTCAGCCATGTATACTGTTTGATTGATTAACAAATGACTGCTGTTACACACAGGCTCACCTGCACTGGCCAGCAGGTATGGGAGGTGGAGCAAAAGCTCTGCCTATTTCCCTCCCCTCCCTGTTATCCTATTCTGGATGAGAGTATACAGTGGTGAGGGGTGCTTAGCCTTGCTTACTTCTGCATGCCCAGGTCTAGGCAGCCCACACCAGGGATTAAGGGAGGATCTTTGTTATGTGAGCATACAGTCCAGGTCATAATCTAGCCCTGTGAATACCTAAGTGTCACCTGAGGAGCTAAAAGTGCTCCAACTTAATGAAGTCTCACAACACCCCTTTGTGGCTAGCATTACTATAAAACCATTTTACAAATGAAATCTACACAGCAGTGTTATTTTGGAAGAACTGGCATAATTCTGAAATGACAAAGAGCTCATCCACAGAGCAAGCCATTATTTCAAAATAATGGTGAGCTGGAGGACTTCTTATTCTGCCTTACTCTGCCTCCTGTAACCCTCATTTTATGAGTAAGGGAAGTTGAAGGAAGAGTATTCTTCCTTTGACTTCCTCCTGTATAGACAGCACCAAAAGCCGAATTAAGCTATTCTGACTTCAGCTACACAATTGAGGTAGTTGAAGTTGCGTAGCTTAATTCAACTTTTGCCCTGCTGTGTAGACGTGCCCAGAGAGTCGTATCAGAAATCAGGGGTAGTAGACGGTCCTAAGCATGACAGTTCAAACCCCACTGTACATTTTCTTCTTTTGTTTCTGTGTTTCACAACTAGAAGTGCTAGATGATTCATCACTCATTAATTATCTGAGGAATTTAGCCTTTGTTTTCTGTTCACGAATCATTTGTGAAAAGATCCTAAGTTTTGCAAATGTATTCCTCATTCTAAGGAGTCATCACACAGCATATGGTTATTTGTCAACAATTGATGTCAGCTTATCACTCTTCATATTTGTGACATTATTTCTGCTCTCTGGATGATTTTTACTTTTAAAATAATGAACAACAAGTGACAAGTAACAAATACTTGCTCAGATACAAAGACCCATTCCTTAAAGGAAAGAATTCCCAAATATTCAAGCATCACTTTACCAGATCGGTCAGCAGGGCATGTAAGTTACATGAAAAAAATCCCCTGAATCTGCCTTTGTTAGGAATGCAGAAACCTTAATGCATATAGAAAACTTTACTAACCTTTATTGCAGTTATCACCAAAGAACCTCCAGCAGCACACAATGCACAGAACTACTGAAAGGGAAGGCCTCTTGAACACGATATTCATTTCTATGGACCTCATGCTGCCTTTTCTGATGAGAGAGTTTTTTAGGCTGTACTGAACTACGTGCTCTCTGTCAACAAGTACAGCAACAAATTGCCCTTTGAGCATTCATAGGCCATCCTGAAACTCAGAAGAATGAACTATCACTGGAAGTGGTCACTAACACTACAAATTCTCATTGGAATATAGGTACTGGTGCAGTGAAAGGGGCAAAAAAGACTGAAGCACAGAGCTCAGATGATAAGTAAACTAAGTTACTCATAAGGAAAATAGAACTTAGGGTACGTCTACACTACAACGTTAATTCGAACTAACTTAGTTCGAATTAGTTAATTCGAACTAAGCTAATTCGAACTAACGGATCCAGACTAAAAAACTAGTTCGAATTAGCGTTTTGCTAATTCGAACTAGCATGTCCACATTAAGTGGACCCTGAACCAGGCTTAAGGGTGGCCGGAAGCAGTGCCGGCAGGACATCAGAGGAGGACTTAGAGCGTGGAGATGCTTTCTCAGGCTAGCCGAGGGCTGTGCGTAAAGGGTCCCGACCCCCACCCCAGACAGTTCTCAGGGGTGTCCCGCTTGCAAAGCAGTCCTGGCTTGGATTGCCCGGAGTACCACACTGGGCACATCACAGCACTCGGCCATCAGACCGGCTGCACTTGCTGCAGGCTGCCATCTAGGGAGAGGGGGCAATTGGGGGGCTGCAGGAGAGCTTCCACCCCAAAAGCC